CCATACCATCTTTGCAATTAGTAAATTCTGATGGAATTTTTTGCGAACTTGGTATCCCCAATCTTTTCTTCAATTTACGACAGTCCGTAGCCTTGTAACCTGCATATCTGCAGTATTTACAAACAGTCTCGAAAGCGTTGACGCTGCGTCTTTCTGACGCAACTGGTAATGTTGACTTACGCTGCTCGTTATTACGACATGTCCNACGACATTCCTTCGACTGATGTCCCGGTTGTCCGCAGGTAAAACATTTTCCAGTTGATAGTCTACCCAGAGAATTTCGGTTTCCTCCGGTGAAGTTCTTCTGTGTCACTGTAATACCTCCATTTTTCCCTTTGTGCGTGCCAGATATAGTTTTCTCCAGCTCAATGGCTCCCACACAAGCATCATGAAGAGTTTTAAAATTATGAGCTCCTACCAGAATCTGCAATTGCCCACGTAATCCTTGTTCGAACATAAATTTTGCAAGCGTCCACATCAGCGTTTTCGAGACTTGTTTCTCGCGCTCACTGAACTCACTGTGAAGACTCAGTAGGTCGTTTAGGAAATCTAAAGTGACCTTCTCCGTTCGAGCCACATATTTGGTAACATCTTCGTTTTCTCTCTGTTGCAATTTACTAAACGACACCTGAAGCCCCAAGAGACTCTTTGCTTTCCCAAAAAGTGACTCTAATTCAGTTTTTTATAGCTCAAATGACGTTACTGTTCCTCCTATATTTCCTGTTGTCCTATATTTCATTTGTTTTATGGCGCTGCCCTCCAATTTACTACCTAGAATCCCCTCCAATAGGAGATCCTGAAGCTCCGGATAGATTAGCTTCCTGGCGCTGTCAACTGATTTCAAGAAGGCGTCCAATTTGTCTGAATTTTCTCCTCCGAAATTGCGAACCATCTGCAGTGCGCCCTTCAAATCGAGATGCGTCCGTATGGCCTCCCGATTATTCTGAACATTTTGCTCCACCCAGGCGTCTGCTAGCAGATCTCTGACGTCATTTCTCTCTCTTTCTGCCTCCTCCCGACGAAGACGCTCAGATTCCAGGAGTTGCCGCATCTTTTCCTCTCTTCTCCTGTTTCCCATCTCCAGACTCGTAACTTTTTCATGCAAATCGACTATTTTCCCTCTGAGATGATCAAGACTTCTAGGCGGTCGCTCCTCCCCCGATTTTTCTACGTCGGGTTGCATGGTCTCACTACGCCCATCCTCAGGATTCCGATTTGGAATAAAATCCCCTGCTCCAAGTGCCCCCGCCTGAAAGAAGACGTTGCTTGGTGTAAAAAATGGCTGTTCAGGTGTTTCGTTGGTCTCNCTGAGATGATCAAGACGTCTAGACGGTCGCTCCTCCCCCCGATTTTTCTATGTCGAGTTGCATGGTCTCACGACGCCCATCCTCAAGATTCCGATTTGGAATAAAACCCCCTGCTCCAAGTGCCCCCGTCTGAAAGAAGACGTTGCTTCGTGTAGAAAATGGCTGTTCAGGTGTTTCATTAGTCTCCCCTGCTCCTTCTTCCTCCTCCTGAATTTCCTCGATGTCATCGAAGGGATTCCCAGGCACATTTTGTGAAGGATTTACAGGGCGAAGACGTACATTATTTGGGGAATTCGAGATTCTCCCTTTATTTCTTTACGTACTATTAGCTAGCCCAGCCCTAAGCAACTCGTCCGGTAACTCGTCCTCAGCTTCCTGGTGAACCTCAACCCGTACCTGTCGCTGATTGGCGGCTAACATGCTCTGATGCAAAGATTGGGTATATCCTCGACGCAGGTTAACATTCCTGTCAATCTCCCCATCCGTATGAAAGAGATTTCTCCTTACTCCCCGCGCAAAGAGGGAGTAAGAATCAAAATCACTTTCTTGTCGACTACCATTAGCTCCTGTAGTTGACATATCGATTATTCATCCCTTGGCCAAAAATAAAATAATCTTACCTGTGTAGCTACTATCTCAGCACTATCCCTTCTTGCTAGGATAGCTTTCCGTCGTACTAGCCCTTTTTTTACTCGTAGGTAGTAGGGTAGGTTTTCCACTGTACTATCTCTTTTTTTACTCGAAGGTAGTAGGGTAGGTTTCCGTTGATAACACAATGATCATCTGCTCCCCCCTCGATGAAAGGTCCATGAAAAAATCTTCGGCTTGCTTACCTCACAGGTAATCTTCTCGCTCCCGCGATGAAAAGGGTTATTACACGTGTTGGCCAGACTACCCCCAAGTAGTCCAATTCCTCAGATAATATCTCGTTCTCTATCACTGTGTAATTAGAGTGGTTGATCAGGCCTCCGTCTTCCCAAAATTACGCTACCACCAAATATGTTATGGACCCGAGCGGTTGGGTTCGATGTAGGGATTGATTACACGCGATTAGACAGTAGAAATAATTATCTTTATTGGAAATAGAACTTATGTGATTAGTTTACCATTTATTAAACAAATAAGTACTCGGATTGATACTGTAGGTATCAGGCGAGTATAAGTTGTAACGTATTATTTTTGTCTTTCGACCGTTCTGCGGTTTCATTTAAACATCCAGACGAGAAGTCACTGCGAAAGCGAAGCGAGAGTCAAAATCTAGATTTTTGTTCAGCTATTTATTGAGTATTTTTTTTGTTTGTATTGAATCATTCCACTCCACCGTTCATCGGAGCACATCGGGGGATCTGGATGAGCCTAAACGAGGACTGGGATGAGATGCAAGAATTTAGATGCTGAAATTGGGTCTCGGAGCAACGGTTCTGCGGAGTCTAGGGTGGATCTGGAGTTTGAATATCCCCGCCGGTTGAGGAGTACGTAGGTTGGCCGTGTCGCGGCGCCAGCTACTGGAGAATTGGAGAGCTCGAGCACCGAATGAATCTAGGCGAAAATAATATTTTCGGTCGATTGTTAAAGGACCCGAAACATAAATTAAGGGTTATTTATCATTATGCGGTTTGTGAGTAGTTGGAACTACATTTTTATCGCTTGGTTTTATCCCTGTGGATTTGGAGGGAAAATTAGAAATCACGTGGTTGTCCGGTGTGGATTACGGTGGAGAGAGAGTTGACGTCGTCATCACTCTCCAATCAAAAGTCTCTTCGGTGAAAGTAACAGCCAATGAGAGGGCTGGATTTTCGGCAATCGAGGAAATGTGCCATCGAGCGTGCCGAGGAGATTACTTCTCGTTTGGGTGGCGAGACTGACAGTTCGCAAGTTTTTCGTTAATTATAAAAATTATTACCGTGTTCCGAAGCCCGAATTCTCGTTGTCTCCGACATCTTTAGTTGACGATTATTGGGAGTCCTAATTTTTTCCGGAGAATTTGTTGCTGAGACTCCATCAGTTCTGGTGAGCGGTGGATCTAATTAATCGTTAATTCATTGATTGTAATAGAGAGCAGGATCTCGTTAAATTAGCTTCCTTTTGGACAAACGGTTTTCGTCCATGGCGAATGACGCCATTAGATTTTTGGCTTTCGGATTTTGACGAGATCTAGCTTCTCGCTCAGCGGAGCATTCTAACGGTTTCGGGTAAAATTCAGTGAACCTTTTATTTTATTAATTTACGTGTTTTCTGGAAATATTTGTCGGAATCTTCCGATTGAAACTCAGTGTTTCAAATATTGGTTGTAAGTAGCAACTCTCGTTTCGCATTCACTTTGGAACAAATTCGGATATCCAAAGTGGAATTCTCGGGGCAATTTGTCAGCTTCAGGGAATTTTCGCATTATCGCTGTTCGTATATTACTTCATTTCTTTGATTTAGAATTTTCTCATTGCAGAACAGTGAAGGAAATATCGACGTGATTTGGAATCACAGCGTCTTTGCCGATGCTTGATTTTCCTGTTGTATCGTGTAGCCGTGACCTTGCGTTAGGCAGATTCACCGGCTCTGGTAATTGTTATTAGTATTTCTCGTGGTAATCCGAATCGCGTCGTTTGAGAATCAGACTACAATTTTGAATTATTTTTCTCGCAACAGTTTTCGTTGTTCTTCTTATCGATTCCTTTGTCGTGACCTTAAACCTTGCAGTAACCCGGTTAGTTACTTTATTTTTTTGACTTCTTGATAGATTTTCCCATTTATTGACTTTCTTTATATTATCTTTGACTAGCATTTTATTAGTTGACGGATGACGTTGAGGGAATTGATTTTATATCGAGTCATTAGATCGGTGTATGAATTTTGTGATTTTCTGATTGTGATTTAGAGCATAACGGAAAGAGAAATAATCCGAAAATAACGGGGTTTAATTAATTAGATAAATGATTCACATTTTGATACTGGAATTTTCGAGAAATTGATTAAATAATATTTCTCCCCGAAAGTCTGAATTTTCTTATCATTTATTAGTAATAAGGAACCCAGTCATTTCAGGGTAATTTTTATTGAAAGCGGATTTTGTGGAACCCAGCCGCCTCCGCGGTTGATCTGAGCTGTCGGCGATCGCTCTCTCATCGTTGTTTGTTTTATCGCTCGTTTGATTTCGTCTTCGATTTTGGTGAACGTTTCATACGTTCTGGCGCTTAACTTTTGGTTTGTCGTTTGGGTCGCTGAGGGCTGCGTATCTATTATCTTCCGCAGAGGTAAGAAATGCGTCACAAAGTATAAAAAGTTAATTCAAGACTCGTCGAATAACTGGCCCTGAGGCAATGAATTCACCAGTCTTTTATGCACCCGTGTAATTCGATTGCATCAGGTCGTTGTTCTTCGTCGCACACCTGCGAGGCATCGGGTGACGTCTCCCAGCGCGCGCGAAGGCCAGGCGTCGGGGCGCAAAGTGCTGACGCTGCGCCCCAGTTGTCCACATTCGTCGTTTATACGTGAAGTTTAATTCACGAGTATTCGACGTTATTTTATATTACCTCATTCCACTGTTTTGTTTCGGATAACACTTCGTCGGTTGTACACTTTCGTGGGCATTCCGACGTATCTTCATCCTGGTCATTTTGCAAACCGAGGACTTTCGTACATTTTTGGGAAACAAAATTGCCCAAAAAAATCATCCGTGGGGTTTTCCACCCCACTTGCCTAGGGGCATTCCTCCATGGCCTCCTCTTCTGTCTTTCCTTTAGCTTCAGAGGGGATTGCACCCTCCTTGTCTGCCTCCTCCTGGAGTGCGAGCTTCGCAGCTCGCTCCAGGTTTCTTCTCTCCTTCCTTCGGAGTTTGCAGGGCCTGACTCTCCACTCCCGGGTTTGTCCTGCGGGGTGTCTCTCAACCCTCTCGGCTGGAGTTGGGAGTCTTTCTCCCTGCACCACGTAATTGGGGCCTTCCCTTCGCCTCGGCTGGGGACGTGTCTCGGCCCTGCTCCTGGGTGTGCGTGAGGCGGTTTCTGCGGGGGGCGGGGCGACACTTTCTGCTACTTCGGCCCTCCTCTCCGTCTTGAGCTGCTTTTGCAGCTTTCTCAGGTCGGCCCTGGGGATGTTCTGGACTTTTCAGTACAGGACTTGCAATACGGCCCGGGGCACGGAATTCCGCACTTCCTGCAGTGCAGCCGATACGGGGCAGGACAATCTCTGCTCTCATGCCCCTACTTCCTGCAATTCCAGCACAGGCGTGCGGGAATTGGGAGCTGCTTGGCCACTCTGCGGGTCTCCTCTACACCGGGGGTGCTGTCGACGAGTGGAGATTCCTGGACCATCCTCTCGTCTTCAGAGGCCTTATGTTTGGGGATTTGCACCCCAACTGCCTCTGTGGCTCCCTCCCCTCCGTGCTGAAGTACCTGGGCATACACCTCCCTCGCCTCAGCATCCGGGTCTCTCCTCTCAGGGTTTTTCCGCCCTGGCGTCTCCTCCCTCTTCGCCTTCCTGCCTTTCGGCAGTTTCCCCTCGGCTTTGGAGCTCCTCTCCTTGGCCTCAGGGACCAGCGCTGGGGCTGCAGGGGAGTTCCTCGTCCTCGAGGTCGGGTCACGGGATTTTCGCCCGTGCTTCGTGACCCACGCGTGGGAGGATTTTTCGTCCTCGACTTCCATTTGCCCTTGGGGAGGAGGTGGCGGCACAGCCGACGTGGAGGGCCCCGGGTTGAACTATGGCAACTGTGCAAGCATCGTTGCCATCAACTCGGGGTGCTCCACCAGTATGGCCGCCAAACTCCTCGCCAAGGCGTCCTTATCATTCGGGGTTTTCGCCCGAGTTGCTTCTGCGACTGGAGACGGAGCTGTCGTGGTAATCTCTATAACCTGAGACACCGCCTCTAGAGGCTTAAACGCAGGTGAGGAAATTTCACCATCCTCCTTGTCTATCGCCATCAGCAAAGCCGAAATGGGCGGAAAGCGTACCTCCGACACCTGCAGTCGGTAATGCTATTCTTTTCAGAATAGTCTTCTTTACCGGGCGTCGCTAAATGCATCTTTCAGCATTTTTGCACATTTATAAGAGGAAAATTTCGTTTTTCAGAATTCTTACTGTTTTCACCCGCTTCCTGCGATTTTCCGGTCGAAGAAAGGAAATGCCCCGCACCTGAAACCATCCTCCCTCGGGTGGCGAGGAGAACAGCACTCAGAGCAGCCGGAATACCCCCTCCCAAGCGAAAAATCGATACTTTCGAATTTTCGTCGGGGAAAACGAACTTGACCTCCCAAGGTGATCCCCCCCGGGTGTCGAGGAGACAAAACATCGAGTTTCTGAGAAAATCTCCCCACGACAAAAATTTCGTGCATTTCGAATTCTATTTTCCCTTGTCAAGGAATAAATAAAATTCGTTACATTTGAGGGGAATCAATTCCTCGATTCTCCTCGTATTATCTGTACGACAATTTCCACTTACCCATATTTTCAGGGTTTCCTTTCTACTCCATTGGCGTGGCCCCACGTCGGGCGCNTGAGAAAATCTCCCCACGACAAAAATTTCGTGCATTTCGAATTCTATTTTCCCTTGTCAAGGAATAAATAAAATTCGTTACATTTGAGGGGAATCAATTCCTCGATTCTCCTCGTATTATCTGTACGACAATTTCCACTTACCCATATTTTCAGGGTTTCCTTTCTACTCCATTGGCGTGGCCCCACGTCGGGCGCTATTTTGTAAGGATATTTTCCCGGGTTGTTCACCCAGGAAAAATCCAAACTACTTTTTATGCCGTCGCTATCGCTCAATAATCGGGCGCCAGCCGAACCTTCACGGGAGGTTCGACGAAAACCGGCCTCTGAGGCAAACTCGTCCACTCAGAGGACTTCTGTGGCTGAGCAAAGGGTTGCCCAGCTAGCAGCACTGTGACAAGGTAGAGTGGGCGAGGTCCACCAGGAGTATCCTATTCCAAACGTCACCAACCACTATTCCAGGCTGGAAATTAAGCCTCACGGCCTAATCATCCATGCAAATTGAATTTACACTCGTCCTGGACGGTTTTTCACTCTCTCAGTAGGCTTTTTCCTCCCGAGTATTTCGATTCGGGAGTGTTTCAGAGTCAATTGCAAATCAGCCGGGACTCCTCAGAGCCTGGGACGCCCAGAGACTGATCTNGAGGGTTTTCAGAATTAAATGCGAATCAGCCGGGACTCCTCAGAGCCTGGGACGCCGAGAGGCTGATCCGACCAAAGTGGAACCCTGTTACCCACTTCACGACCACCCACACTCTCGGCCACCAGTTACCGCTTCGGTCATCGCACGTCACCGTCTCCGGGTACTCGAATGTCGGCACATGGTCGGGTCGACAGGAGGACGATCTCTACTCCAGACCCACGAGCCCATGCGCTCGTCATTTGTTTCACCGAGCCGCATAACGCCGGAAACAACAATGTCGTCACTAAGAGTTCCGAAATAACACTTTTTTCCGTTTGTGGGGGATGCAGAAGCATCCCCCTACGTTCGCTATGATCACTTATGCACCTGGCTGCGCTGAGCTATTCGCCCACCATTCCCTTGGCCATCTTTCAAGCCAACACCACAGTATATCTCGAAGAAATCCTTTCGACTTCCCCGTTCGAGCGTCCGCGTTCGTTTAACTCAGAATCTTACTAGGGCCTTCTCCCCCTAGTCTGGATATCTCAGCGACGATAGGTCATTCCGTTATCCTATCCCCACCAATCAACCCGACGGGATCCCGGGGGCACCAGTCCTCTCACCTGGCCGTTGGAACCTAGTCTACTCTGACATAGCCTATGGAATCGCCCAGTTGGACAGCCTGCACGTCGGCTCCGTTTCCCCTAGCACATGCTGGGCGAATTCTAATACGGCGATAGTCTAGTAACGCCCTCCAGACCTCCAGGGGTCGCGGTTTCACCCATAACCGCTATGCCTTAGGTTTTTCATCGGTTTGTGGCTCTTCTCATCCAGTCGCGGGTGTTTCAGCCGCCTCTAGATGTCACTTCATGTCTCAATTTTAGAGTTCACGTAACTTTTTAAGGGGATTTCAACCCGTAACGAGAAAATCTCGTTACAAGACATACACGAATTTTTAATTGTATGCGGATGGGGAATAAGGTGTGGTTGAGTGCTGATTGCACTCTTTAGAGAGAGGGGGTAGGTTGGCTGGGAAGACACGCATCTTATTAGGGTTGCCAATTCTGTCCGTCGTAAGCCAAGGTATTATTTTCCCTTTCAGCTTCTGCTAGAACCCCTCTCCCGTTACTAACCGAGATTGCGCGCGTGAAAGGTTTCGCGGCGCAACGAGCGCGGGGAAGAGGGAGTATGTAAGATGCGTAGTTAGGTGTAAAGAGTGAGGCGAGGTGAGCGAAGCATTGGACAATGGTGGGACTGGGAATGGAATCGTATGATTCCATTGGTATTCAAATATGATATTTTTTTAATTTCTGAAATTATTATCATTTCCAAAAGTTGGAATTAATTATAATTTTCGTACGTCGTTATGACGTGACATATTGAAATGATCAAAACAAATATTGTCTAGAAAAAGGGAATGAATTCGATTTTTTGATACAATTAATTCTATTGAGATACTTTTTATAGAGTTTTTTCGGCTCAAATTTTCTAAGTTTTTTTTTCATTCTAATATAATTTTCTTTTCATTAAGAAGATCAAACAAAAAAACCTAGAAAATTTGAGCCGAGGAAACTCTATAGATCATATGTAAATGGGGTAATGGGGTAATATAGCGACTCCAACGAATTTTTCGAGTAAGTTGAATTATTTTGTCATCCAATATAAATAGAAATTGAAATCAGGAAAAAAATTGAGTCGGACTCAATTAGGTAAATAACTTGAAGGGGGTGACTGGGTCAAATTTTGGCCTGTGTGGGGTTCATACAAGCTGCGTCCCCATCGCGAACCCTGGGTCATGCTAAGTGCTGGTGAAGCTTGATACTTTGAAAAATAAGTGCTTCACTACACGTTGAATTTATATGTACACCTCATAATTGAAATTTCATAAATTGCTTTTAGAAGGGAAAGCGCAGAAAGGGAAGTCCCGTACAACTACATGAGCATCCATGTTATTACGTGTGATGGCTCAAAGGAGGTTAAATTCATTTATTGCAACTAGGTTCCGACCAAATATACGTCAAATTACTTCAAGTTCAATATAAAAAAGTTAATATTTACCTATCAGTATCCAGGATGAGTAGGAGGTGCTATTCTACCTAATTACCGTAAATGGAATATGTTGTAACAAAATAAACGATGACGGAAATTTTCCAAAAACTCCATCTAAAGATCGGTTTCATTAAGGGGAATGAATTTCAAATTACCTATTGATATAATCATCTGCTACATAGAAATTTTCTATCAATGCATGAATGTGAAAAATTTATCTACTAAACATTATTTTAGTAGGAAAATAAAACTGAATATTGCCATTCTTGCGATCAATAAATGTGACTTGACTTGGGATTAGTATATTTCTAACCTAGGGAGGGAAAATAAAGAATCCTCAGCCGCCAGTGCAATTACCAGCTGAGCCGAAGGCGAGGTTGGTAAGCACGCGGCTGAGCGTCCTTTATTTTACTTCCCGTGGTTAGAACACGATTTTCCGTCTCGGCGTAGGCGAAAAGTCAGAGTTCCCTCCCGCGAAACGGAAGGGAAATGTAACTTTGCACCCACCGGGACGGAAAATGTTTTATTTCATATAATTGAATGTATCTCAAAAGGAAACGATTATTATTCAGCGTAAAGTCTTATTGAATAAAGATTTTTTCTATGGAGAAGTACGAGCTCAAAAAGAAAAATATTTCAATAACACAAATTTTTTAACTTAATTTATTTTAAGAATTTTTCCGAAAATATCTGAATAAAATAATTTGGATAGAAAGATCAAAGTCGATTGATTTTTTCTATCAAATATTTCACATAATTATCATGTGTTATTTTTTATTTTCTCCAGAAATAGACACAACACCATCAATCCCAGGGAAAGCAGCAATAGAAGAAGAATCGGTTCACCAGCTGCAGTTGCTGGAAATAGTGCCGTCACGGAGTACAGCACACAAATGGCCATATGGAAGAAACTCGATGAGAAAGCTCAGAAATTTATCGCAAATACACTGAGTCCAGAAACAATACTTCACGTGACGTCATGTACAACCACTGTTGAATGTGGGAAACTCTAAAGAGTACGTACGAGAGCGAAACCGAGACCAACATCCATATGCTGCTACAGGAATGGTATGAAAGCAAGAAGGACCCAGCGGACGGCATGATTACCCATAAAGTGAAAGTACAGGATCTTGCCTATCGTCTGAAGGCACTGGGTGAGTCAATTTCAAGTAGCGCGATAATGATAAAAATCTTGCTGACCCTCCCACATAACTCTGATCATTTTCGCACAGCTTGGGAGTCTGCAGCTCCAAACGAACGAACCCTGGCTAACCTGATTTCCAGACTCACTACAGAGGAGAAGAGACAGGAAGCACATGAAAAACAGGACACTGTAGGTGCACTGACTGTCAAAGCTGCCGGCAAGGGACCTCAAGAGCCGAAGAGAAGGGATCGAGGCTCTGAAAAGAAACCTGGCGCCTGCCGCTATTGTGGAGTAAAGGGGCACTGGGAAAAAAAGTGCAGGACGAAACTAAGGGAATC